GAGCTTACTGTAAAGCACCAGCAATCATGGGATGTGACACATAGCCCAGAAGACTCACAACAGGGAGCCCGTGACTTCCAGCCAAGGTGCCAGGGACTTCAGCATGGGGACAGATAGACTTCTCAGGAAGAGGTTGGTGAGTTACTGGGGTTCCAGCTAATTAATGACTGCCAAATGTAAGAGCTGAAATAAGTTTCTAGAGCTAAACCTGGGAAAGTTTCATGACCTTGGTAAGCACAGGAAAATGGACAGACCTTCAGATGGCCTAGTACACTTACAGCTGTCTTAAATTATTTGGTCTATAAAAGATAATTCCTAATGATCAGTGGGTTAAAATACGGGATTTTATTTATTTTTTTAAATCACATTTTGAAGGTCTGAACATAGATAAATTGCTTGCTGAGGTTCAGCTATTCAGTGACGCCATCAGAAAGCCAGACTCTGCTTTTTTCTTGCTCCATCATCCTTGGCTCTGTCAGCATAGATAACAGGATGACTCTCCCTTGGGGAGAGTAAGGTTACTTGGGAGAAGCATTGCCATGGGAACACCTCTGCCTATTCCAGGAGCGGGAGGTGAAGGGAAGTTGTAAAAGTCAAAATTAGGAGGGTTGCATGTTGTGTTTGTGTAGTCATCCTGACCGCACAGCTGGAATCTGGGGTGTTCAAGGCCAGTAACCACAGTGGCACTGGGCTGAGATTGGACAGGCGATTGTTGAGCAGATATCTTTGCAGACATGTATTCTCTGTGAGGTTACAGAGACCTTTGTGCAAGATTATAGTTCTGGCAAGGTGTTTTGTGAGTAGTTTCGTTACCGTGCACACGATCCCTTCCTGTATAACATCCAGCAATATGTAGTACTTTTGTTAGGATTCCACAAAAGTGACTCTGTTTTGATTCAGACAACTTCAAAGCAAACTGGCCTGCTAGGTCTCTTCTCCCTGCATCAGTGGACTTTACTCTTTGATCTTATGCTTTTTGTGTCATCCATTTTGGAGCCAAGCCTCACCTTCCTTGCTTTGGCCTTTGTTGGAAGGCCTCACTTTCTGACCTTTGCTCTCTACCTCTTGTCCTTGCCAGTGGCCTTTGCCACCCACCCCAATATTTACTGTTGCATCATTTGTTATTCTGTCATTTGCTAGAATTGGCATTGCACCCACAGCTCTGCTCAGAGGTAGCAGGTGCAGTGGTTTGAGTGTCCCCTCCAAAGCTCATGTTGACATATAGTTGCCACTGGAGTGGTATTAAGATGCGAGACCGTTAAAAAGGAACTTGACCCTGTGAGCACTTTCCTCACAAATGGATTAAGGCTGACATCGAGACAGTGGGTTAGTTGTCTGGAGAAGAATAAGTTGGCCTGGTTTCTCTTTCTCATGTGGGCTTGGGTGCCCTTCTAGCTCACTGTGGCACTGAAGACCCTCGATAGCTGCAGCTCCTCAGCCTTGGACTTTCCAGCCTTCGGGACTTTGAGAAACAAACGTACTTGTAAATTTCCCAGTCGCTGGTATTCTGTAATAGCAGCAGAAAACAAAATAAGACAACTGGTGATTTTGTATTGTTTTTTTTTTATTTTGAAAATGAAACAGAGACCGGTTGTATGTGGAAAACATTATCATATCTTTCAACTGAAGATGAATAATTCATTTTTTTGCATCAGACATGCCTGCATTTCAGGTTTCACAATGTCTTACTCTTAATAATGAATAAATAGCAGAAGCTGCAAGTGACTGGGTGATCCCAGAAATGGATTATTAGACCATTTTAAGTTAACTTTTAAAAGTGGACTTGCTCATGACCTAAGAGAGTGGTGACACTTTTGTGCTGAGCAACCCAGATACTTTAAATTGTGTCTCAGGACTAGTGGTGTGCATTCTTGTAGATAAATCAGATTTTGGCTTACAACCCAGTTTCCCTTCTCTGTGCCATACTGATACATGAACAGAGAGGGGCTGGTGATGCTCAAGCAGTTGAAGGTTCGTTTGTCTTTCAGCATGAGTGACAGCTTTCCTGCACTCTCAGGTGCACCCATGTGCTGGATGGCGGCTCCTGGTGGTGTGAAGAGATCCCAGGGTGGGACGGGAGAATAGCTGGAGTGTTTCCCCACCCTCTTGCCCACAATTTAACAGTGTTGGGGCTGGAGTTTTCATTGAGTCCGTACTCTTTAGAATCTGACCTCATTGGGTCTAGCAACTGCTCCCTCTTCCTGCTTCTTCAGAAGTAGGGGCCTTCAGAAGTGGGGGCCTCCCTCAGTGCTGACCTCAGCACCTTGTTGGTCCTTGTTCTCTAACTCAGCCCACACCTCAGAAAGCCCCTCCTATACTCTTTGCTTCTCTGATCTCTGGTCCTCTAACATGGGAGGATAACTTTAAAGTGTGGTGGTCCAGAGAGCAGAAGTGCGCACCTTGTAAGAGAGGCCAGCACACTTGTGAGATGCCCGTGTCTTATGTCCTCTGCCTGGTCTCAGATGAAGCAGGTCGGGTAAGAGGCCTCGGAAAGAGAGGCCTTATCATCTGAGCTTCTGTGGTTATTAACATGATTCCACCTGGTTCTCCCTCTAAAGCCTAAAGCCCTCCCTCCCCAGACTCCACTCCATACCCAGTGCAGGCGCCATCGCCTCTCTCTCGTCTGAGGTGCTGCAGTGTTCCCCTGAAGACCCTCTAGGAAACAGGTACCTGTCACTTCTCTGCCAGGTCCCACTCTCACACTTCGCAAGTTCATCCCTAGCCCATTTTTCCAGAGTTAGCTGTGTTCTTTGTCTCCCTGACCCCTACCATGTGTGTCTCACAGTGGGTCTCACCATGCTCTGCTTCACTGGATTTTAGAGTTCTCTCTGCCCTTCCTGCACTCTCCTCTTTTCTTATATTTTTCACATGGCATTTGTGACTATGAGGACTTTGTTCTTTGTCTTAACTCTGTCAGGCTATGCAGGCATCCAAAACATTGTGGATGAAATGAATACAGCCAAACCATCCTATGTTACTGCACAATGAACCATTTGTACCACAGACTAGGAGGGCATACCAAAACTGATCGGTGTAGACTCCATCCCTGTCACAAGAGGCTGTACAAATGCATTCAGGATTAAGCATCTGTGCCAGAGAAGTGTACATTCCATTCACGAGCAGAAATAACACGTTGACTCTAACATTTCTATACAACCATAAGCATCTCACTGATTTGTAATAGCAAAAAATGAGTAATTAGATTAATTAAAGACAATTCATGGAAAATTTCTAGTCTGTTTGCTTTTTAGGCTAACAGTAAAATAACTATCAGTAAATTGTTTTGTCTAAGTAATTTTGACAGTGAAATCTAAGTGGCAACTCTTTCCCAGCCTTTCCAAACTTCATAGTTGCAACCGTCCATGAAGAATGATGTCCAGTGAATGAACTGCTTCTGTGTGCTTTGAATGCCCAGTTCTAGGACCGCTTCTTTTGCTTACAGATTTACAAAATAAGAAATCTCTTTTGAGATTAAAGCATATTACATTATCTAGCAAAGAAAAATTCAGACTGAATGAGACTGAAAATTGTATGAAATGATTATTTGTAAACAGAGTAAGGGTTGTTTTTACATTTATCTTGCTCTCTAAATGAAATTTGTCTATTGCAGAAAATAGGTAATACACTTGTTCCTTTAAAGCCCAAATTCAGTCATCTTCCTGTAAGCCACATACTATTTCATTACCAAACTCTAGTCACTTGATCTGTCCCTGATCACTTCAAGGGATTTGGGGTCACAGGAAGGGGGCACACAATCTAATCAACATTTTTTAATTTGCCCAGTCTAACCTGGAGGTGCTATGACAGACTCTTGAGGTGTGTCCTTATGGAAGGTCGGGCTGCAGCAGGATAGGTAAATGGTCGGAAGGAAAGGGGCTGATGGAAAATAAGAGCACTGTAATCAATTGACGTCAAACACGTGGTTAATAGAAAGAAGCAGAGTGTGCCAGGTCCCCAGGATTCTTGTCTGTGGGGAGCACAGCTGGATGATTGGTACCTTCATGTCCCAGACAGGTGTCTCCTAATGTGCTGCTGCACATTAGGTCAGGTCAGGGTCAGGAGCCAGGCAGGGCTGCACTCAGGTGGACCATCCATAGACCAAGAAGTGAGGCAGTGGAGTGGCAGGTGCCAGTAGAATTTAGATCTGAGCTGGGAATTGTAACGTCATCTTACCTGTTCATTCCTCCATGATACATTGTCTTTTTTACTCGTGTGATTTGCCTTATAAAAGTTAAAAGTCGGTCTATTAAAATTCTTTAATAACTGCTGCTTACTTCTTCCTTTACATGTACATGTCATTGAAGATAAGCCACGTATTACTCCACCAAATCCAGTAAAGTCGCATGGGTTCTGTGTGTTTGAATTTACGGAGAAGTGCTTATTCTTCTTTAAAAGTGTGAACCATGTTCAGAATAGAAAGTCAGACCTGGGCTCATGGCTGTGAGTGCCAAGCAGCTGGGAAGAAGACTCCTCGACTGTGAGGAGGAACGGTCAGTCAGAGGCGCACACACTGTCCGCACAGCACAGGGGCTCTCGCTGCACCCACACTTTGCAGACCTTGGCAGGACTGCTGCCTCATTTCTGTGCACCCCAGACTCACCTTATGTAGAACGAAAGTTTCAGAATGCAATTCCTCTTCAGGGTTCTTCCCACTGTAAATTCCCCAAATTTTGTGAAGGTGAAAACATGGTCCATAGCAGTGTGCTAGGTGCGCTGGGACCCGGGAGCAGCAACGGAGCATGGTCCCTCTAACTAAGCCTGATGCCAACACTGACATGGAGGCCCCAGGAGTGCAGGAGGTGCTCCTTCTGTAGAGTGACTGATGGTCTTACAGTTCCATTTTACTGTCCTTCCTGCCCTTGTTTCTGCTGCTTACTGCTCTCTTTCTTCCATCAGGAAATAATACACACATGAACCTCACCATGGAGACACAGAAGCCTCTGGACATTACTATGAATGTGCAAATGCTCTGTGCTGACCAGTCTTGTATTGTGTTCCAGAGACCGCGTAATTGGTTTGATGATGACTGCCTGTGATCTTTGTTCTGTGACAAAACTGTGGCCAGTTACAAAATTGACAGCAAATGACATCTATGCTGAATTCTGGGCTGAGGTATGTTCTTGATTCTTTGTTGTTTTTTGGTGGTACGGGGCTTTGAACTCAGGGCCTCCTGTTTGCTAGTCAGGTGCTCTACCACTTGAGTCACTCCTTAGTCCTATCCTTGATTCTTATGTTAACCTTGCTAATATAAAATTGGGAAAATACCCAAGGAGAAATAACACATGTGGCTAATTTACCTATTTGTTGCTTTTATTGCTACTTCTTTTTATTTCTGAGCACTGTGGTCAACCCGATGTGATAAAGGATTTAACAATATGTAGATGGGAAGTGAGAACAATCATTCTATCACACATGCTCGAACATGTGAAAATTCTTCCCTGTCAGCTCAGAGCTTGGAGTGTTTTCCTTGTGTGTAGTGCTGCAATTTCCCAGACATCGCAGCTAAGGAAGCGTCACTGACATGCTTTGGATGGGCAGTAGGGACAAGAAGGAACCCCTAACACTCTGGCTATACCTGCCTGCAGTTAGAAACTGAGGCGCTTGGTCACTAAGGACCACAGACCTGAAAACATGTCACTTGCTCAGCCATCAGCCCACCTGCCAGTGACGAGTCCTGAGAAGATGCGGGGTGTGAATCCACAACACCCCTGAAACAGACAGCGAAATGGCCACACTGCCATCTTTCTTTGAATGTTCTGAGTGTCAGCAGTGTGTGTTTTACTCCTCAATTTGCTTCTGAATTTTCCGTGAGAAAGTAGAACATTACTCTCTTGTTCAGATGAATCAAGACCACCTAGGTCTCTGCATGTTCAAAAATGACTTTATGAAATTATCTTTAACTCCTCCGGGTTCTCACCATCCCCCTTTTGGATGAAAAGAGATGACAGTAAATTTGGAGGACAGAGAGCTTTGTGACTGATGATCCCCCACTTATCTCACCCACAGAAAATGCATAAAACCAGCAAATCGTTCACTTACAGCTCAGTAAGAGCTGTCTGTAATGCTCACTTACCCCATGAAGGAAGTAAGGAAGGGTTTTTGTTTTTGTGTTTATTTCTGTGGTTCTGGGCCTCTCGCATGTGAGGCAGGCAATTTTGCCACTTCAGTCACACTCCCAGCCCTTTTTTTCGCTTTATTTCTCTGATAGTGTCTCTTGTGTTTTTGCACAAGCTGGCCTCAGATCACAATACTCCTACCTCCACCTCCCACGAAGGAGGGATTGCAGGGGCGAGCCACCCACCCAGCCCTGAGTCAAGGAATTTTGGATGCATGAGGACCACAGACCTTGAGAGGGTTACCTTCCAGGTGCTGTTCTGTAGAACACCTGTGTTTTATCGTGTCTCAGAACCTAGTTACCATCAGACTCAGCTGAGGAGACTGACTGAGAGGAACTTGTCTGAACTGTACCACTTGATTTACTGCCACAGTCACTTCATTTTCATGTGTAGCCTGGAGTTCATTCTATACATATCAAACAGAAAAAATGGTCTGAAGCTGGCTGTTATTTTTGCACATAATTTTATCTAACTTCTGTTTTGTTTTTGTTACAAATACCAGTTGTATTTGTATTCTAAACCGTGAATCATGTGTGACAGGAACGTAGTGTAGATTTTTACCCTTATACTCCTGGTCGACCATTCACTCCACAATGTGGATAAAGTTCCCAGCATGCTCGTGGGCACAGTCTTCAAGGACCTCCAAGTCCTACCAGTCTGGCAACTCACCCATGACACCCAGTCTCCTCTCCATCTCACTGCCCTACTTCAGATGTCACCAGGTCAGGTCTGAGACCCTGCAGCTTTTCACCTAGCTTCTTGCCTAGATCTTTCAGCATTGGGTAGCAGTGGTGACAGGTATGGGCTTGAAGTGATGTCACTGAAGGTTACAGTCCCACTTTGGCGTGTTGTATGTATCTGCAGGCAGTGTTCCGACATATCTCTGCTTCTCAGTTAGCACACTGCCAGAGAGCAATGGTAATAACTCTGACTATATCCGAACCCTTTGCAAATCCTCAGCCACCATTGTGACACAGACAAAATCATGAGCCTGGCAGGCAGAGCCCCACATTGCCAGCCACGGCCTCCCTCTGCCTCTTTGGTCCCGGAAAGCCATCTGTTGTGTTGGTGGCCCACAGCACTGGGGCTGGTTCCCTTTCCACATTTGTCCTTGCTTCGAGTACATACTCAAATCATTATTTATTTTAGAATGGGTCTCCTCATTTGACTTGTAAAATCCTTGTGCACAAGGGACTTAGGAGGTTTCACTCACTCTGGATGGAAAGCAAAATGTTTGAGAACCAGCGATCTGAGTATTCAGTGATAAAAAGGTGGCAGCTGCACTTCAGGTGCTCTGACACTCAGGACAAATGCCTTGTCCTTTATGTGACATCCTCAGTGGAGGTGGTAGCAGCTTGTTTCTCAGCCCTATTTTAACAAATTCAGGAAGTTTAACAGAGCATCTGTATTTAGGGTTTCTGAAAGCAGGCATCATTAAAATTACTAAAATAATAAATAAGTGTGAGGGAAAAATCAGGAAATGTTAACAAGCTTTAACAAAATAAAAGCAAGATAACATTTTAAAGCTGTCAGTCATGGGTTCGTGAGGATGACATGCAGTTACATTTACAGGACCTGAGTCCAGAGCCCGAAGCTTGGGAGAAACCCTTCAGCAATATGGCCCATAACATGGATTTGACGACTGCTCTGCCCCCCTCTGTCCCTGCTCCTCTCTCGAGCCCAGCCTCGCCCAGTTCCAGTGAGGGACCCTGCCACATTGGTGGTTCCTTCTCGCTGTTTCCTGTGCCTCCTCCTGCTACACTTTTCACTCCACTCCACGGTGAAGCCAGAAGAGATGGCTGGGTTTGTGGGAACTGAGCATAGGAGAATGTGGAGGAAAATCACCAAGCAGTGATGCATTAGGTCTTTCATTGTTTGGACATGTCTCAGGACAGCAAGTAGCCTGAGACATGATTGTTTTGAAGAAAATTAAATGAATAAAAGAAATAACTCATTAACATCAAAATTTTGTAACTATTCAAAAGTTGAGAAAGAGTAATTCTCCCCCCTTTATTTTAGGGTGATGAAATGAAGAAGTTGGGGATACAACCCATTCCTATGATGGACAGGGACAAGAGGGATGAAGTCCCACAAGGCCAGGTATGGTCATTAGTGTCCAGTGTGGCTTAAGGCGGTGCCCCTTGCTCTCAGCCCCTTGTGGTGTGTGCGAGAGCAGGGGGGTCGTTCCATGTGTGGTGGCTAATGAAGACACTTCAGCGATGTACATACAGGGCTGAGAAGTCAGAGAGCAGCCCTTCACCCTTGATCCCTGCCACCCACTGGGGCCTTTACAGGCTCCGCCAGCCTTAGGACCTGGCCCGCACCACACTGCACCATGGGCAAGGCAGTGCTCTCCCCTGGGTGTGAGGCCAACGCTGACCTCCAACCTTGCTTCCGAGGTTGCAGGCCACTGAGGGAAGACTCCGTGCTCTGCTCTTAGTGTTCCTGGGCAGAACCCAGAACCCTGAGTGAGACCCTCTCCATCAGCCTGGAGTTGGGAGTTGGAGACCAAGGTAGAGACCCTCGCTGGACTGAGAGCCAGTGTCACAGCTGCTCTCCGCTATCAGGCTTTCTGCTCCGACCTGAGCACCAGGGCTGGAGAAGTTTGAATTGTTAGCAGGGTATTGTCTTGCAGATAGCACTGCAGACTTTTGATTCAGCTCTTCCTTTTCTTACACAACTGCTGAGTACTCTGGAACATTTTGTGTTTTATTTCAATCTAAATTGACATAATTACCCCATTCCCAGGACTTACTACATAATTCATATAATTTTTTACTGTTTTGAGAGCTTTTGTGCCTTGCTGGTGGTGCAGTTATGTGTGGTGAAAGTCTTCCTCATGTATGGTCTTTGTAAACCACATGTATGGTCTTCTAATGATGTAATCAGACATGGACAGGCAATTATGATACAGAATTAGTTTAGAAAATTTCTCAAAACGCTCAGAGGACAGTGGTTCTGGGTAAATTCTCAATTTTCCCACTTTATTTAAAGTTAATTTATGCAAAAGTTTTGGCAAGTCCATCACTCAGAAAGCCCCAGCCCACACAGAGGTGGAGGGCTCTTCTTCTGGTCACTGACACTAGCAAAGAGTCCCCTCGTGTCCTTGGCTACATTTTCTCATGAGAGACTCATTTCTCCCTGTTTGAAAGTGCACCTGACATACCTATCATGTGTACCAGGCCAGGTGTGTGCATATGTGTGTGTGTACCACACACTCCCTACACGGGTATGCGTGATTGCATATGTGTACATACATATATGTGTATGCTTCTAAACACTGTTGATGGAGCTTTTGCCCAGGTACCGGTTAGTAGTACTCTTTCCTATCCGTATTTGCTTTCTGTGTCATATTTTGAAACTGCTTTCCCACTCTGAGATTACATTAACATTTGGGTGTTTTCTTCAGTTGCTTCTTTTGTTTCATGGCTTCATGAGTTATTGTTGACTCGCTTAGAATTTCTCTCCTTGTATGGTTTAAAAAAAAAGGATCTAATAATTTTTTTTCTTTCCAGATAGTTAAAACAGTCACTCTAGGAGAATGTATAGAGTAGCCAAAATTTTCTCATTCATGCAGGGGGAGTATGGGTTCTGTTCTAATGTTTTTAATTAGAAGAGTAGTTCATATTAGAATAGTTTGAGTTTCTCCAGTATTTTTAAGTTCTTTCATTGTATGTGAGTAACTTTCAAATAAAATATCTGTGATAAGCTAATATTATACCAACTTTTTAAAATTCTAAATCATTAATTACTATGAAACTATTCTTTATTGTAATAATGAACTCTTCTTTCTAATAAGTAATGTCATTCCTGGGATCTTTCGCCCAATGACAGCTGCTAAAAAGTACTATAAGAAGATTCTGCGTGGTTTGTAAAGTTAGGAGCGAACACTTTATGGTCGTATGCACTTGTGACCCCAGCATGTGGAGGCTAAGGCAGGAGGATTGGGACTGAAGCCAGCCTGGGCTACACACCAAAACCCAGTCTCCACAAAAAAGTAACAAGTAGGAATATTGGCGTAAGGTGACTGTGACAGTGGCTTTATAGCAGGAGAAAGCGAGAGCTACACAGATGTGATTCTTCTGTGTCTTTGCTGCATCTCATTGAAATATGGTTGTTTAAAGCTGTGACTTGGGGGTGGCCTTGTTTAGAAAGCCAATTCATGTCGGCCGTGTATTAGCAGGCCAGCCCTGGGCAGTCACTGACAGCTGGACAATCTCAGTTCTCTCACAGTCCCACAGTCTTTCACATCTGGCCCTCAGTGGATCAGTCTAAGGTAACATCATTGATTTGCAAGTGACTCAGAATTCCTAATAAACTGTGCTTTAATATTTCCTGAAGTACCGCCGAGTGTAAGACTGCAAAATCTAATATGCTGAGAGAGCTGTGATAAAATGATTCACGACCTTGGGTGTAGGTGAAATGTAAGAGGCAGGAGAATGAACGGAGATCCAACAAGGTGCCGAGGCCCAGGGTAATACGGGGACAAACAGAAAACACCACAGCCATTCCCGAATGCTAAACTCGACAATAGCCATCCATGTCTTATTTTGGGGATTCATTTTAACACATTTTAAACTGTGTTCAACATTTTAACATACAACTGTGTATTCATTGAGCTCAAATATCACATACAACAAAACTAGAACATTTAATTTTATAGTTAGACTTCAAAGGCAAAAAAGTTAAGCACAGCTAAAATCACTAACGGGCGATCTTGTTTCTTATCTGTGACTTCTGCCGAGGTAGCTTGGATTCTACAATGCTGTAGCCATTCCCTGCTACACCACGCTGACCCAGATCCTCCCTCCTACAGAGCCCCTCCTGAAAGCGTGCAGGTATGTACAGCACTTCAGACAGACAAAAACCAAGCAGGACTGTGTAGAATTTTCACTCTGTCATCTTACAAGGTGTCTTATCCACAGCTTACAATAGTGATTTTCCGGGGTAGGCAGCAGGTTTGCCTAAGTTTCAGGTTATCCTTCTCGGGGATCTCCGGTGGCCCCGCTGGCCAGCTTGCACCAGGCCGTGGGAGTCTCAGCAGAGACGGGTCTTTGACGCCATCTGATGCTTGAGGAGTTGGTTCTGGCAGCTACGACAGGAAGGATGGTGGCGACAGCCCATGTCGTGAGCCAGGGAGGGTCAGGGGTCAGCTGGTGACTGATCTGGAGGGGGTCTGTCCAGAGGCCATGCTCAGAGTTGGGGGTCCTGGCACCAGGGGTTCTGTCAGGAAGGAGCGTGAGCTCTGTTTGCACCTGGTGCTGTTGCAGGTCTGCATCTCATTTCCATGCTGACTGGACCTCACCTCCTGGACCCCTGGCCAGGCTGCATCCACAGCCCAGGACACACGGTGCAACCCTGTGAGGTGCTCATCAGGCCTCTGCCTGTCAATGCTGATAGGTCTCTATGTACACTGCACAAGCTGAGGTGAAGCATGTTCTGTCATAAAGCACTCACGCAGTGCTGGGTTTAAAAGGCAAGGCAGCACGGTGTTATGAGTCCAGGGCTCTTGTCAGGAACACCATGCTTGCTGTGTTAGCAGACGAGGAGGAGACTTCCCTGGGATCCTCTTCCTTGTTAAATCTACTTTTCTTCAAAAAAAGAAATGTAAGCCTTGTGTTACCTGGTCTAGTTTCAGATTTCTCCCTATCATTTTCTCATCATTTCTGAGGCTGAACTCAGTAAAAACACTGAATTTTTAAAGACTTTTATTTTACTTTTTTTTGGGGGGTGGGGGTTGGGTTAGAGACAGAGTATTTTAGGCTGGCCTCAAACTTGCAGTCCTCCTGCCTCAGCCTTCCGAATGCTGAGATTAGGGGTACCTACCACCAAGCCCACTTTCATCTCAGTTTTAGAGGTGCTCCCTCGGGAAAGCAGCCTGGAAGTGCCCTCCAGCTCTCATCTCCAGCTGAGAGCCAGGAGATGTTCTGACCACAGGTGGCCTTTGTGGTGAATGAATGTGGAGTCAGAGGACAGTCATCTAGCCAGATGATTTTAAACAAAATCACAACTTAAATAATGCACCCCCATTCTCTGCTGTTGAAACTTCTTTGTGGACTCCTTTTTTTATTTTTTAAAGAAAAAACAAAAGCAACAAGTAAGAACACTTAAAAATCTTCCTCTCCTGTTCGAGAGATAGTTCCTCTTTCCTCCCTTCTCGAGGAGAGACAGAGGGAGTGTCCCAGCTGATGTGGTTTAGCCTCAGTGGACCTGAGCCAGTGTTCAGCAGAATTTCACCATATTGCATAAGGACTGAGCCAGATGGGCAGTCTGGAGTGGGCAAGGGCTCACCGCTGGAGAGACTGGGTCATAAAAGCGAGTGCACATGCAGGAGAAGCTAGAATTTCAGTTCAAATCCAAACTTGTGATTTGAAATTCCTACACACTATTCAAAAGTCTTTCCTATGTATAACTCCCCATTGTGTGCTAACTCTTTAGAGCCTGCAGAATAAGTGCTTACTGTGGTTCAAGCACAGGACTGGGTTGCCAGGCTCTTCATGTCATAGCACTGAGAATGAGGCACTCAGCCATGTCAGCATCTCTTAAAGGCTGTTTTATTCTTATAACACTTAAAAAATTCTGTATACATTACGTGTTCAATGAAGCACACCAAATTTAATGTTATGTCTTTTTTCCAATATAGCAGGAAACCTGTAAGATCTGGACAATGATACCTGATGTTACTGCACAAAAGTTAAAAGTATTACGCTTTTCAGGTTAGATTTCAGGGATTTCTTTTGTCCAAAGGTGTCTTAGTGTGTTTTCTAATTAAAGAAAGTTGGGGAAGGATTTTTAAGTTGTGCTTTATAGGAATTTGGTGTCTGTCAATGTCCTCAAGTTCCCCTCCGATTTTGGCTCTGTGTAAAAAACAATGAAAATCAAGTTAGGAAATGTTGTGAGGAGCTCTGCCAGGTTAGCCGTAGCGAGGTTGCAGTCACAGGGCAACTCAGGCCTACAGACAGTGAGAGGGAAGGACCGAGGACTACAGGAGATGGCAGGCTACACTCGGATGGGAGGTCACCAGGACACACATGCAGCTTCCCTGTAACAAGGAAGTTTCAGAAGTTTGTGCTGGGGTAAAGTAAGAGGACACTTTATGTATACCTCAGGAGGACACTGAGGGGCTCTGAGAGAGGATGCAAGGCTACCCTCCCTCCCCCACAGAGTGCAGCCCAGCTGTCCTTTCCCCAGGCAGGGAGCCCCTGCTCACCCCTGTCAGCTCAGTCCTTCTAACTGAATAGGAAATGGCACCCTGAGCCCCAACTGGTTTCTGTCTTTGCTGCCTGGAGCTGGTGGAACAGACACCAGGTGCTCTGGTGGCTCTGCGGCTCCTTTCTGAGGAGACATGGTGAGAGCCTGCCTGGCCACCTGCACCAGCCACGATCAGCATCAGACCTGCAGTGGTTACAGGACACAGGGTTGTTGGACCAGCTTTGGAGACAAAGTCCAGGATCTGTTTTGAACCTGACCTTTAGCTACCACTCTTGTCCCTAGGGATAACCTCAGTCAGTGGGAGAAGGTGATCCGTGGGGAGGAGAGTGCACTCTGGATCTCAGCCCCGGCAGCTGCCCCAGGGACCTCTGAGAAGCTACCTGTGAAGATCGACGACTGACGGCTGCTGACAGGTGCCCTGCCCAGTGATTCTCATCCTGCTTCTCTGACTTTCCTTTTATGTTTGAGGGGAACCTACACCCAGTAACTGGGGTGCAGACCTCTTCTAGAAGGTACCATCGAGCATACATGTCCATCTGCTGGTTGCCTACCAGGCTCAACGTACAGTGAGCCACCAGGACGGCCAGTGTGCAGACATCAGCTGGCCCAGTGACTCCACCCGACCTCGGACACCCTTTCCTAACATGCTGGCATCACAGAGGCCCTCGTGGAAATGGACAAAGGGCACTTCCCCTTGTCTCTCCACAAGGGTGTGAACGGTATCTGCCGTGTAATGCACTCGCCTTGAACACCAGTGTTGCTTTGGTGGTGTTGGTTATAAATAGGTGTTTTAGACATTGCTGTTGTGAATGTTCACATGTGACTTCCTTGTATTCACTTGAGTCGTAGCCCACAGCCTCCGGACATGTGTCAGGAAGCTTACAGAGTAAGATAGACGGGGAAGAGTCAAGCTTTGTTGCACAGCTTCATGATTTTAGCAGAATCAGTTATGTGCTTCAGTTTGTAGGAATGTGCCTAGAGAAACTCATTTTTCTCTGAAGGAAGTGGACCTCTGTTCTTTTAGGAAGGGCCCACTGAGTAGCAGCCTCGAAGCTCAGTTCAAAAGATGGCAAAGAATTTGAAACCATTCCTTTCTTCATTACAGTCTTGACAAATTTACTGAACTCTTTGCATAAAGAACAGAATAAAAGTGAGGTGATTAAAAACATTCCCAACTAACAAATCTAATAGATACAAAATGTGGATTTTTAATAATGATTACTTTCTGTCTTCACTGTGTCATGATAAAATTTTAGACTCAGGTTCAAAATGAAAGGTTTATTCTAAAAGTTTCTTTGTTAAATTGCCATGCATTTCTCTTAAAGTCAAACTACTACCTGAAGTCTTAGTCTGTGCAATTTTTCCTTGGCTGCTGCATTCACTTCCCATTATCACTTCCCATCACTGCTCAGTTGTGTCCCTCAGGCCTGCTGTGCAGAGCTCAGCAGGAGGAGGCAGCACTGCCACCACACTGTCCCTTGTCTGTGTCCTCTCCTTGCTCTTCACACATGTCAGGCATCCACGTGGAATCCTGGCTTGGCCAGTTTTGCCTGTGTAATTTTTTGGCAAACTAATAGTACTGTTCAATGTCAGTGTTTAGAAAAACTGAGAGCACCCCGGGCCCTTCCTGCAGAGATAAGGAGGTCACTTCTGACACAGGTTAATGCCCTGAGGACTTTGGCACAATGGCAGAGCCATCTGAACCTGTGGTTAGTTCTCACCTGGGGGAATGATGGTCTCAGAAGTAACAGAACAATCCATGACAAATCGCTTACTCGATATTCTCATTAAATGATTCTTCAAACCTGCTGTTCACATAGGCCTGGTCTGCAAAATTGAGTCAGGCTCCTGAAACATGGTTTTCTACATTGTAGTAGAGATGGCTGCACATGAACCTTATTCTTATTTTAGATTAACACTATGTGTTCAGTTTCTTTCTGGGCTTCTAAAGTCGCCCTCTTCCTCTCATGGAGCTCCATTTGCTACTGTAGTTTTATAATAGGAGGTAAAATGTCACACTAAAGAGAGAAGAACACTGCTACAGTAGATCTGCACACACATGTACCTGTGTACATAGGGTATGTGCAGGCACACAGGTGTGTATATGATGCACTCTCATATGTATGTAGACGTACACAGGTATGTATATGTATATGAAGACCAGTACAGCTTTCATCACGAACGTTAACTTAGCTGTCTAATTGAACTTTGGAGCTGAATTGCAGGAAGGGGGCATCGCTTCACATTAGTATCTAGTTAAAACGATGCTAAGGGAATGCGTGAATTCTGCTTTTGAATATGGAAAATGAGCAAGGGAGGAAGAGCCTCACTCATTTTCTTTTATTTTAAAGTTTCTGCTAAGACATTAGTATCTAGTTAAAACGATGCTAAGGGAATGCGTGAATTCTGCTTTTGAATATGGAAAATGAGCAAGGGAGGAAGAGCCTCATCACTTTTGCATTTTAAAGTTGCTGTTCTGCTAAGAATATTACAGGAAGTTCTCTTAATTTGACTGAGCCAAGCACATTGTATTAAATGGCCTCCTCTTTGGGAATTTTCCCAGAGGAATGTGGGTGGATTGGTTGACTGGTCAATTTCTCATGACAGAGTGTAATGACAGACACAGTTTGAACAGAGGACTGCATGGTCATGTAACCTGCTAATGATGCGTTCACTGTGTGAAGGAGTCACCTGGGAGCCGTGGATTCACCTAAAATAAAGGAGTCCAGGAGGGGGGGTATTTAGCTAATAACATGCAGTCAGAAGTATTTTTGGATGTTGGCAAATATACAGATAAAGGTTTGTGTTCTATTTCTCGTCTTTTTCTTAGATCTTTTCTTAAAAGGACAACGTGATACCAGAAGTTAGGCAGATGGTGTTTATTATCCTGAATTCTTGAGGAATTTATCATTAAGGCGGCATTTTATATTAAGCTCAGTGTCCCCTGTCCAGCATAAACTTGGTAACCAGCTATGGGTGTGTGTAGACTGTGCAATCTGAAGAAATGTGTATTGTTTGCGTTCATTTATAATGGGCAGATTTATGGTCACATGCAGTTATTCCATTATCCTTTCCGATGTAGTAAATATGTTTTTAGCTAGACATGCTTTTAGGAACATGCATGCCAAAATCAACAAGACATGCTGAGCTGGAGGCAGTGGAATAAAATCCTAAAAGAATTGTGGCATCTTATGAATTAGTAATTGACCATGTGACTTAGCTCATTAGGAAGTCTTAAAAGGGCAATGGCCCTTTGATGAGGGCAGGGACTGTGATCCATTTCCCAGTGTCAGTCACGTCTAATAAGTGCAGAAATGCCCATCTTGGAAGAGGGACCCAGTGGAAAACTGAGGCACCACTGTCCCCATGTCTGGCTTCTCCTGAGTGAAAGATGACGTGCACAGATGCCTCTGTAGTGGTGCTCCTAGTGACTCGACCCCATGGCAGCAGAAGCAGACTAATTCCAAGCAAGATGTGTTCAGTGTAGGTTTCCTCTTTGCGCATGCTTTAACATTCTTTTGTTTTGTACATTCTCAGTGAATTTTGCTTTCTCAGTGTGTTTATATACACTAGACATTTGTACAGAATACACACAGTTGCACAACTCCTTAGGTACCTTGGTTTTTAAGTGGGTGTAGTTTGGGGTATTGTGTCTGGTTTTAAACTCAATTAAGGTTTGAGCTTTAATAGAACTAAATTAATCACCGCGCCTTGGCCTGTGCCTTTTTTTAATACTGAAATTCTATTTCTTCATTCATCTATTCATGGTTTATCTTTTCTTAATACAATGGGAACTATTTAAAGGGTCACATTCCTGGTTACTTTCATCTACTGGATGAGCAGGGCCGTTATCTCCTCGTGAGATTCCTCTCCTGTATTTGACCTCATTGGCTTCTGCCTTGGTGACTACAACCACGGAACTGCTCAGATTGTCTTTTTTTGCAAGAACTTCCAAACTGTGGTACTGGTGATGATGTGATTTGTTGGGTTTCCGGTACATAGCATGATTTAGATTTTGAAAATCACTCCTCTCTTTATATATTCCAATCTGTGTTCGCTTTGTATACTTTGCTGGCTTTATTTGGGGTGTAATTCTTTAAAACCTGTATTCATTCAGTCACTTTAGTGCATTTCTTCTATTACAAGTATCAATCTGGTTTAACAATCACTGTAAAATTTAAGTTAGCAGAGGATGCGACCAGTCATTGTTGCCCATGCATGGCATAAGTACTTATCACGAAACACATTTTGCTGACTTCTTTAAAAATTTATGCTAAGTTTAAATTAGTGATGCCCAGTGCAATACACACATTTTTCTTATCTTTTTTAAAAAAACTGGATACCTTCGTTGTTTAAATGTTAGATATATTTTATATGATGATGAAAATAGAACAAAAGAAGGGTTAATGGTGTCCTTTTTCCAAATCAAGAAGATGGAACAAAGAGAGAGACATTAGTGTTCCCTAAGAAAAACACATTTAAGATCCAAAGAAGCACCATACTTTTCACTTAATTTTCCCTTTTCAACCCAATGGTAGAAGGCAGTACTTTTAAAGTTGTACACAGTCCACTTGCTCTTTATTGCAAGTGTGAGAAACTGAGGCATGCAGCCCTGGGCCTGGCTCTTTGGGGGCACAGAATGTGACCTAAGGACCGAGATGGAAACTTGGCCAAATCCAGGGTTACTCAAGTGGGGGGTTGCTTTATACATTTGAGTGCTCAGCTGGTATTTTGAGGTACTGTATATTTGCAGAAGTTTAAGTGGAACATCTTTATTCCTGATGTAAATTAAGGTTTTAAAGTGTATTATTTAATATTCTAACCCACCTAAAAGATCATCATATCATGGGCATTGCAGCCTGTTTTTAAATTGAGTTACCCTAATACCTTTTCCTATGCTGTCTCAGATAGCCAATAGAAATGTGGAATATTATTTTTTTCCACATCATTTGTTGTATGGTGTGTATGCTGTATGTTCATTCAGTGTGTAAACTGAGAGTACAATAGACTTAGCTGTAGGAAATATTTCTACACAGTGCCCCGACCTATTTGAAATTATGTGCTTGCCCAAAACACTGTGAAACACTTACCAAAATTTGTACAAATGCAGCATCTTGATTCTTTCTGAGAAGAGGTGATGTTCTCTACATGAACATATAAGCAAAAGAGATCCTATACCCATACCTAGCCAAGGCATCTAGGAGCTCGCTGGTGATAACCTCCTCGCTGACAAACCCTGCAAGAGCCTCACGCAGGCTCTGCCACCAGAGCACAGTGCTCATGATAAACTGATCTGTGGCCAGTGGGTCTGTGTCAAAGCCTTAATGGGCTCTCTTTTGGAAGGGAAAGAATTTCAAGTTAACAATATCCACCTTCATTATAGTTGATGAGTTAGTGAATTCCAAAAACTGCTTTTATATGTAAGACATAAAAACTCTTTGTAAAATGCACAAGTGCAATAATTTAAAGGTCTTAACTTTGCATTTATAAATTATAAATATTGTACATGTGTGTAATTTTTCACGTATTCATTTGCAGTCTTTGTATTTAAAAAACCTTTACTGTTATGTTTGTACAATAGAACAGTAATCATTTCTTATAACCTCAGCAAGCTGTAAATAAATTCATAATTCAAAAACAGCCAGTATATATGCATATATGGGTGTCACATTGCAAAATCTATCTTTGTTTTACTTATATGCTTAGAGCAGCAAGAAACCTTTTGTTGATATGTAATTATACATATAAAGTATATATATATGTATGATACATGAAATATATTCAGAAATGTTCATAATTTTAATGGATATCCTTTGGAGTGAATAATTGAATACAGACTTTTTAAAATATCTCTCACGCTTATCATTTGCTCTCATTTGTGGGGAAGAGAAGAGA